TCCATTTTTTTTTCAAAAACAAATTGAAGACTCGCTTTTTGAGATCGAATCATGCGGTTGGCACCATTCAGCAGAAAATATTACTTTTTAATCAGTAAATATTTAATGGAAATTAAAAGTGAATTCTTTTCAATAATAAATCTGGCTCTAAATGAATCTCGTAATGATGATTAATTAAAAATTGCCATGTTTTTTCTATTCTTCAACTAAAAAGTGACGTTTTTTTGTTTTTTTTCCAATTTTTTTAATGTAACTCAGCACGGGAAGCCGCATATGAAATCTCAAAAAAAAGGTTAAAATTCAATTAGGTGCTTGAAAATGAAAAAAAAATACGGGCTATTATATTTATGTAGTAAATATATCGATGGCTTAGAAACAAATAGAAAACCATGCGGGGTAAAACATCACGAGTTCATATGCAATGCCCTATACATAGGGCAGACTTGGTCAAAATAGCATATCCCAAGTTAAAATGCGAATGAACAATTTTTTTTTGGTATTGGATGGACTTTCTTCTGGGTAGATTAGCAGTATTCTTCAATATTAAAAAAAAAATTCGCGGAATGTTGTCGGCTCGGACAAACCAGCATACCCAAAAATAATGCAAAAATCAGATATATCATTACTTCAAAAAAAAATTTTTGTTATGAATTGGACACAGAAAAAGGAATTTACATCATAGGTGCTTGTAATCGCTTTCGGCTCGTATTGCAACCCTCCCACGAGCCAAGACATCCGTTACGCCCGTGTAGCGTAATACACTATGAAGTATGACTGAGTGATTGATATTATCATTATCCGTATTATGAAAGTAGAAACACCAAAATGACCCGAAGAGCGCATTATCTTGAGTCTAAAAAAATCATCAAACTTGCATCTGTTCATTGTGCTATGATTATTATAATTATCTTTTAATAATGAAATAAAATTTGAACCGAATATGTTTTCTCTCTCAGAATGTACATGCAATAATTTCGAAGTCATCAAATACCCCCTTGCAGATTGTGTAGGTAAAAAGAATCTACTCAAAAACAATAGTGCGGTAGTCCCGTGGTTAGGGCGTAGGTTCACTATATGAATCAGCAGACATCCAAAGAATAGATGTTCACATCATTGGATTAGCAAGAAATCATTATAATAAATTAAAAACCATCGAGAATGAAACAATTCGTCAACTAACTGTATTCGATGACCTTGATGCCATCAAAGCAGCTGAGGTCGGTTATCCAAAACCAGAGTATTTCAAATACTATGATAAAAAAGGCTTAATCCAAAACGCAGACAATGTACCAATTCTATATCACTATGATCGTCATAAGACAAATAAGAAAATCCCAATGGTAATTAGAAAGCCACATCTGATTTATTCAATGGCAATTTCAAACACTGATAAAAATGATTTTTCGAGAATCACAAACGATTATTACTGGTTGGATGAGAATAATCCGATAATACAGCAACTAATGGCAAGATATTTAAAGTTCAAAAAAAGAAAAAATAAAAAACAAGATTATAAACCACCATAAGGTTCAATACCCTAACGGGTAAGATAAAGTATGATCTCTGATCAACCAACAAATTATAGAATAGTTACTAGTATCTAATAAAGAGGCTATTGTCTACTTCTAACTCCTTTTTTTTCCATATTAAAAAGTGTGTTTTTTGAAATATAAACACTATTTCTTTTTTAACACTTATTTTAACAAACATTAATATAATTACCATTATACAATACAATTATTCACCAATATTGTTAATCAACATACACCAAATATTTGAAAATCATGAGAGCTAATCGCAAGCCATATGATGTACAATTTACCCAGTAACAATATTGTATCAGTTCTTTCTAAAACATTGTTTATTACTGTAAATAGAATGTATATATAAATGTAAATAAATAAACAATTGTTGAAAAAAAAAAAAAGTTATGGCGTAGGTTCAGTAATCGTAGGTTTCTCGGTTCGATCCCCAGCATCGTCAAAAATAATAGGGTTTTTTCATCGCTAATTACAATCGAGCTTCATTAAGAGCGGTCAGATATAATAAAAAAAATAAATTATCTTTTGTTTTAAGTGAGTTATGGTTAATATTTATTATTGTTTTCGATATTCCAGTCATCCGATTTAGATACATTTGACTTGATCAAATCCGGAACCGTTAAACCGGATCAGAAAAGTTTGATCAAGTCTTGATTTAAATTTGCGTTACATGTCTGATCAAAATTTGATCCAGTTACCGTGTCACTTCCGGATCAATCATCAAGTATGACCTGATCCAGTCTTGACTAGAACTTGACTAAAATTTCCACTCGGGGGAAGTTTGCCCGAGTCGAAATACCTTGAATCGCGTAGGACTAATTCCTCATTGGTTAACTGGAACTGCCAAATTCAAATTCGGCGCACGTAGTGCCCAGTAGGTCTCGTTAACTCTGAAAGTAAAGTCCTGTAGTCATTATGTAATTAACAATAGAATGGCAACTGTTTTGACTAATTAATTGTATCGAATAGTGTTCGCGCTATTTTATAATCGTTTGTATTTAATTTTCCAGGACTGTGAAATAAGAGTCATTATAATTGTTTGATAATAACCATAAAGCACCTAACGATGTATTAAATCGAAAATCAATCAAAAATGAGTTACAATGGCTCATCAAAAATCAACACAAAGGCCATACAACATTATTCTCATTGTTGGCTTGTGCAGTCCATACTGGAAAGTTCCTCATTCCGAATTGAAGCGGCAAGGCTTGGATGAAACACGAACTAAAACGAACTTTTTATTTCAGTGAGACTTAGCTTAATATGAAATTGAAGATTAACTCACTGCATCCCAAATTAAATTAAAACCTGGTCCATGACTTGTCACGACCCTTCAAATAGATTTTCGTGCTATAGCCAGAGAAAAGTCCAATAAAAATTACTCGAAAAAATACGTAAAATACACGAAATGTTACGTAAAAATTGGTGAAAATAACGATTCCTGAAATCTCTGTTAAATTTTTCTGTTAGATTTTACCGTTTTCCGACAAATGACATAACTTTTTCCTATTCTTTCAGTGAGGAAGTCGGAGATTTACTGAATATTTCCAATTTTTCTTGGATATTTCTCTCCATGTAGAATGCCATCATACCATTGTGAAGAGAGTATCGAAGCTATTGCAGTAGAGGACAGTGTGATCTAATTCTCATTTGTCAAATAATGACAGGATTCTAGCACTTTCATTATTCATAAATATTTAGCCGAGTACTTTTTAGTTGTACATTTTTATCATTATTTTTTCATAACCATTGGAGTGGTTTTCGCAATACCATTTGAAACCCAAATTTCGATATATTTTACCCTAATATGTTGGAATTCAAACCACACATTACTTTCCATGGATAGTACATGTGGGCCTTAATTCTGTTTTTTTTTCAACACTTTTCTTGTACATTATATGTATACCAAAATCATGTAAAAGTTTGCGGCGCATGAATATGAATTTATTTTTATCATGCTAAGAAAATTCCCGGCGTTGCAACGGTAGAATTCTCAAGATTTTCTCATCCTCTTTATCTGATGAGGTTGTTTTGAAGATACCCTGCAGAGGCAAGGCGCGCGAATACTTTCAGAAATATTCCTATTGTCGCTTTCAACAACGCTTCCATGTACACTCTGTTCTTATTTATGGAGTGCGAATACGTGTCTTAGACTGGGGACAAAGAAGGTAACTCGTAAGTACTCAGTCACATCAAGCGCCTCCTGACTTCCCACTAAGCCTGAAAGTTCTGAAAGAAAAGTATATTTCATCTTTATATCCTTTACTTGAGTGGGTTTCAATTAAAGACGAAAATTCATTTGTGAGGGACAGCGCGAGAATGACCAAAGAATAGGAAAATGAGGATGAACCGACGAAACTGGAGAGAAGATGTTTAAAAAATGGAAATGAGTGTAGAGACGTTGAAAGCTGGTAGATATGCAAAACAAACACGCACCTTTTTTGCTCGACATCAAGTTATCTGGAGCTGTGGGCTGGAGCTACCGGCATTCCGTGCCAAAAATTTAATTAACATTCATTACATGCACTTACGTTTCATAGACCGTTCGGAAAGTGAGCATTTGCCTGGAAAACGTCGTATGCCACGGGCGCGTTAGTCAATTCTCCAAATAATGATGTTTGACACCATACATTAGTCTTAAGATGTCAAAATTCATTTTTTCAATATCTTAGTGAGTCAAGTACTATACCAAATCATCAACGTTTCCGTTTTACTTAAATATATACATTTTACATTAAATTGATACAAATCCTATAGAATTTACTTTGATAAAAACTGGTTATCAGATGTCCTCCACCGTAATCCAATATGATAAACGTTTGCTACGTAAAAATTATGACGATTTTGAAATTAATTATTGAATTGTCTACGAGATGACACGGAGGATAATTGAAAATAAAATTTCATACTAAAAAATGTTCAAATAAGTTCCATTTTTAATTGTTACTTAACACATACATCTGAGGATCCTTCGGTAAGCAATTTTTATCAGAAGAAACTCACCGTTTTCTCGTCCCATCCATCAAATCTCCATGAGAGGCTGCGAGAGCCAGATGTTTGCTGGGGGTCTAAACCCTCTAAATAAAAAAAAGATAGAAGTAGGGGATTCGGTGCACGGTGGTAAACGTCCGCCAACCCTTGATTCTTCAGTGCTGTGAATAATGCCTTACGCTCACATGGTTCCCGCGACCGCCCCATTACAAAAACCTTGTCTGCAAAAGTTATGCGAAAATACAATTTCCCATTTTACGTCTGGGTCATTCATTGATCTGAGAACCGTTGGAAACGATATTATTATATATTTTTGGGGTTCATAGTATACTCAGATGATTTTTTAGCAGATTATACGATACTGACAAAAAAAAGAATGACAAAGAGATTTTGTTTGCGATTAAGAGCATGTGGGCCCCTATATTTTCCTAAAAATACTGAGAAGGAAATATTTTTAACGTGTTTCAGGAACCAGTACCAGTCTATACTGTGTCCCCGTCTTTTCAGAAGACCCACCCCTTTCATCTCAACAGCTTTAACTCGAAAGGCAACTGCCAGAGTACAACAGACAGATTCATCCCAAATAGACGCACCCAAAATTTTGATTTCTCAAAATACTGTTTGATGAAGAGAGAGACGCAGGTCGAGAAGGATGCGTCTGGTAATAGTTATATCGATGTGATCAGCCAGGTATTTTATCTTTCAAAATTTAGTCTTTGTTAACAAAGATGATTAACATAATTCAGTAATGGACCAGAAGAGTGATCAAGAATTACATCGGCATACTTTAATCGGTTTATTATTAATAGAAAGTATATTTTTCGAACAAGACAGAATACTATAAAATATATAAAATAACATAATAATAATAATAATAATTTTATATAAAGACTATTTGACTTTAATAAAAAAACTTCAGTTACAAAATGAACAATCTGTTGGAGGATTTTCCGAATAGAAAAAGTAACAGGTACAAATGTCAAAACGTAAAGTGAATATCAAATATACGCGGGGATTTCAATCATGTTTATTCAATGACTCACTTAATTTAAGAGTCGTTTGATATTTTTTCGGCATTGTTTGTAAGCTTTTGTGAATTTCTCAAAAAGTTCACAGAAAAGCTCGGAAAATTGCTGGACGATAATGAAACTTTCTATGTGGACTATTTTTTGGGTTTTGGCTCAGTATTGTCTCAAACATCTCTGAAAATTTCGAAACTGACCAAAATAGAACAGACATAGGTAGGATAAAGAGGGCGAATATTGTACATCTCTTGAGCATTATAATCTGAATTTATGATGAATATGTGCACAGGCTTTTCGTTTCACTTTTTGTTGTGATGTGGCAGCTAGGTTGTATTCTATTTAGTTTTTTTCTTTCCGGAACATGCCGATGCCACGGTCCTGTGGACCACAGTGGCGAACAAGGTGAAAATTCCACAAGAGGTGCCTTTTGACATTGAATAGTTATATCTTTTCAGCTATCAATAATTCAAATAATCAATTCTCATCAAGCCAATAATATGTTCGGATCAACATAGTCACTACTGGACTTAACTTTGAGGATCAGAATATATCATCTAATTACTCAATTGGGAAACAAATTCGTATTGGTTATTTAACATCAATTTTATACAGTTCGGGTCTATTAAATATAAAGCTCGCCTTCGTGAAGTATATGACGAAATTCCCCGCGAATCCGTTGCCTGTATCCTGTAGGGTGACTAGCTAGAAACAAGAGCGAGAGACCTGACTTCGCAGGGTCTCGAGACCTATTGGCCTGGAGAAAGTTACCTAAAAATTTCCCAAGACTAACTACCCACTCTCTAGCATTCTCAAGAGAGAGACTACCTACTACCTCAAAATCACGGCCTTCAATTATTCTCCCAGATTCGTGGTGACAAGATTTAGAAAAACAATAAATAGACAAACTTCTACGCTTATGACACCTACCAGTAATAGGCACAGATTAGTAACAATTTGTAAATAACCCTAAAATCCCCCTTCTGTTGACCAGTTGAGGTTAGGCTGCGAGTAATAGCATTAAGGGCCTAGAAATCACCGTAGAAAATCGGCTGACATACTGTGCTCGGGATGGTTCTTAGCAGCCCATTTTGGTTAATTAAATAGGGAAGCCCATAGTTCGATTACAGATATTCGTGCTCTCTGAGTTGCAAGAGGGGTGGGGAAATAGTTCAGTATAGTTAGAAGGCCAAGTGGAGAAACTTAACTCCCTCACCTGCACCCCATATCCGAGGAAAGTTATGAGATGGCTTCCAGGAATTGGTACAATTCACCACATGATTGCTGTCCTGACAGGAGACGTCTCAGGCTTCAAAGATTCCACTCCATTTGATACGCGAGTTTTCTAATGAACAATAAATATCTATCGCCAAAGAACGTCCACAATGTATGGGCCGTGAACGTCAGATAAAAGTGTAATGATGCCACTTTCGAAATTAGAAACATATTAATTAGAGAAAGGCCAATGGGCGATCGTTCCGTCATTTTCGGAAAAACTTCTTCGGCGTCTGACGGAATGGGGGTGATACCAGGGTGAGGTAGGCCGTCCAGAAACATCCTTTCTAAATACATTGTTAAACATATGAAGATAGCTCTCACCGGCCATAAAAAAATATTGAATGACGAAATATCGAAACGCTAACGGTCAACGGAGAATCATGCCAGAACAGTATATAAGGGGCGGTTTTTCACCAAATTAGTCAGCATAAATGAAATCTCCGTCTTGAAATCTTCAAGTGGTACATTGCTCATTATTCAGTTAACTCTTTTATTTTGGACTTTTTACTTTTCTGGATTTCAAGTGAAGTGTAATAAATTAAACAATCTATTTAAAGGGAAACCTAAAGGTATCTTTCTCCATGTATGCTAATTCCTCATTTAATAATCATTGTGTACTTCAGTACTTAGTCCCACGCAATTGGCCTCACTAAGTGAGATTCGTAAGATCCCTTCTGCACCGGGTGATACCTGTCATGACTAGTTAAAGTCAACTCACCTCAAGGGTTCACCTGTTATTCAATATTTCGACCTGCCTAATGACCCAGTGTCGACAACAGACGTACGAGAGATGCGTACGGAGCGTGTAGGAAATGGTGTGACCGCTGAAACGTCTGATTCGGTAAGCAAGTACTCAATTTGAGTTTTCCCAACATTATAACGTTCTCCATTGAACGGTTTAATATTGTGATCTAATTTATCCATTTTGTTTATGGATTCTTTCAAGTTAACACTACATGGCTTCTTAATACGCACCGTTATTTTATCACTCTATGTAATAAAACAATGTCACTCGGGGTTATTCTGGGCCCATAACCTTCTGGATTATGGGGATAAATCCTACTTCCAATCGTGGCCTACCACCGGCAACTATCGCAGACATACTCAGGAACCACTTAATCGATGTCGCTCTACTTGCCGGAACACGCCACTGCCAGCATGAAGTTTTCGTCCTCAAAGGATGGGCCGTATGATCTTACATCTTCGTGCGTTCAGATGCGTCACACCACTCATTCACGCCACCTTATGAAGGGCCACATCGTGTCATATCGCGACATCAGAAATATTTCGTCGTGGAAATCAACGGCTAAGATACTGTCCTTTCAATCAGCCGCTTGAAGCCAGTATTAACGATTGTCGAAGAGGAACCAAACGATAACGATCCATTGGACACACATAGCGATCCCAACAATACCCTAGTACCGTTTTCACAAGCAACAACCTCTGGTGGGACACCTACAACATTACAACCAGGAACGTCTAGACGCAGATCATCATCATCTTGGGCTTCATCGAGTAACACAACATTATTAATGGACTCAACTCTATCACCAGCGAGGAAGGGTGTCAGGTCCGGTGAACGTTAAAACTTTTTAGAGTCCCGTATACCGTTATCAGAGCTTTTTGACGTAGTACATTGTGAATATTGTAATATCCAGCGAAGAATAAATGACACAGGTTAATCAATTGTTTGGCGGGTTTATTAATCACAAGGTGCAATTCAAAGCGTCAAGAACCAGAGCTCCGAGGAGAGACAGACCAAAGAATAATGTTATTGCAAAAGACTGTCGTTACCAAAAGAGACGCGTTCAGATGACAGACAATTGAATTAGTATCCGAAGGGGGACACGTAACACTACTCCCCTCCGCGAAAAGGTGTGGTCACACCAGGTACTATTTGAGGTATTACAACTCTACGATTTGTGAATTGAATTTGTGGCAAACTGGAAATTTTAAGCGTTGCAAGATCTCACATAGGGAGGGCCCCAGTCTGCTCTTTAGCTAAAACCTCTCAAAAATCAACGCTAAAGAACAGCCGATTTATAATTGTTTGATTCTACACAATAATAATGTATCAAAAGTGTTTGTTACAATTCTCAATGGATTATGTTGAGCTAAATGAATAGTGTGTTTTCAATTGACTCATTCATTAAGGGTGTGTGAGTGTCAGTATTTGACTCGAATTTTCATTGTTCATTTTCTGAAGCAGCAAAATGATTGACTTGAAAATTTCCGTTATGGTTACAGCATCTGAAAACAACTCAACACAGAGAATTCCTCAAATTAGAAAATGTTTAAACGAGAATTACATTCAATCAATGACAACAAGCAACTACTCTTCTACTTGTCTGCAGACAACTACTAGCAACTACTTCACAAGCAACTACAAATAATTCAAACTGCACAAGATTGCAGTTTTTCGAAAGCTTTCGAAATTGTTACATGCATTAAGCAAAAATAAGCGTGTATTATTCATCATGACACATACACACATTCATTCATCCTGAAATAAATCAACGATGATAGAGTAAGGTAAAACAGGTAAAAATAAATAATCAGGCCAGTCTGCTACAACAGACACAAATAATCAGGCCCGTCTGCTTCAACAGACATAAATAATCGGGCCCGTCTGCTACAACAGACATAAATAATCAGGCCCGTCTGCTACAACGGACATAAATAATCAGGCCCGTCTGCTTCAACGGACATAAATAATCAGGCTCGTCTGCTTCAACGGACATAAATAATCAGGTTAATGAAGGGTAATAATCTTTCTGGATCATCATGTTCCATCGGCCATAGACGGTTGACATGTACTACTTTAAATTTACCTTTAGGGAATTTCTGAATTCGGTACACAACATCATTTACTTTGGATCGGATTACATATGTTTTCTCCCAATTTCTTTGAATTTTCGGACATCGTCCTTGGACTCTTTTAGGGGCAAAGAGCCAAACTCTCTGACCAGGTGTAAAGTAAACCATGTGAGCTTTTAAATCAAATTTAGACTTCATTTTGTCGCTTTTGATTTTCTAATTTTCTCTGACTTGTTTATGTGTGTTCACTAATTGCTCTTGTAACTGATCTATGTAATCAGGTAGATTAACGTGATTTTTAGAGTTATTGAATGATGGGTTACCATGAAGCAAATCTAGAGGAAGTCGTAATTCTCTACTGAACATTAATTTTGCTGGAGTGAATTGGGTGGTTTGATGCTTGGAGGAACGATATGCGAGAAGGAATAATGGAAGCCATTTGTCCCATGAATTCTGATTGTCATTAATAAATTTAGCAAGGTAGTTAAGGATAGTTCTGCATAAACGGTCGACCATACCATTGGCTTGTGGATGCAATGGGGTTGTACGCGTTTTATGAATACCTAAGAGCTT